ACGAACAAGTTGTGCGCCTGATGGTAAGCTACACGCATGTCCATAACAGTTACAGTGCCACTCAGAGCTTTAAATTGCAAAGATGTGAGGGGGGCACTACCACAGCGCCCGTCACCCTGAGACATAAGCTGACAAGTCCCATGTGCCTGTAATTTCACCAGCACCCTGACCCTTCAAAACCGGAACATAGTAATGCAGACATTATTGCTTGGCTGCAGAAACAGGTAAGGTGGCAGTACTACCTAATAATAAATTGATCATTCCGATTGTTTAGTTTTTATTGTAGACGCATTCCACATATGAAATAATATAACATGAAGATTTTACATATACTACGAAATAGAATGACGATCTTCAAAATTGATCTCTTGCATTTTTTTGTACGACGTAATAGGTTCGACGACATAGTACTTGTAATCGTGTAGATATATCGTATCGAGTGCTTAGATTTTCGCGATTATTATCGCGATACACAGAAAATGAAATTATATATTATTATATTCAAGCAAAGCAACATTTCGGGCCCTCTACAGCTGTGGCCATAGGACCGGTAAAGGGCCAGAAACGTTGGTTTAAAAAAAAACGAATATATGCGATTTTGAACTGAAAAAAATCGTTTCATTTCCTATGTTCATTGCATATCTTCTTTACAAAATTCGGATTTTTTTTTCGCGAAATATACTTTCATTATTTCACGTGTCTGCAAAATTAACAAATCGGGATTGAGTTTTGGTGGACGGCCAATTAACTTCCGCAAAGTAAGAGTTAATGTACAATGAGCGTATTGGGTAAGATATGAATCAGTGATCTATAAATTAACATTCAACACTGTGAGCCACTACGCCGCAAATTGAAACCGAACATTTTAGAGATTATCCCACTATAATATTTAAAGTATCCCGCACGTAAATGAAAATGTCAGAGAGCTTATTTACGAATAATACCCGAAAGTTATCAGCGGTTTGCTGATTAAATCTGCTTGAAAGTCAAACTTTACAAGTGCCAACAATCATTCGCGGTCCACTTTACCCGTGTGCCTTTACGACCTCGTAAATTACGAGTTTTGAGGGGTTGAATACATTTTCACCATCCCTTATTTCGTAGTTTACTCTGTTAGTTTAGGCCCCAAATGGATCCAAGAGAAAACCTTTGCCTTCATAAATAGCAAATTACACTAACTAACTGTTACAGATACGTGAGGCGCACTATAAGTTTTCGGAATGAATTAGAAAAAAATACTATAAATGGTCAGAAATGAATTTATTGCTTCTCAAAATATTCTTCGTTAGCGTTAATGCACTTTTTCATATGAATGAACAAATTTTGAAAACATTTATGCAATTCCTCCGTGACAATCTGAAAAATATTTTTCGACAGCCTCTTCAGGTGATGAAAATCGTTGACCGCGTCACTAACTCTTAATTTTTGGAAATGAATAAAAGTCACAAGATGGCAGGTCGGGACTGAAGAAGAAGGTCAACGTTGTTCACCTTCAAAAATTCATTTGTCTGTCTGGCCGTGCGAGAACTGGCATTATCATGGTGCAAGATGATACGGCGTTCACGGTTATTTTTACGGAGTTTGTCAATAACTTCCGGCAAACAAAGGGTCGTGTACCAATCACTATTCACAGTACAACGATTCTCCAAAGCAACAGTAGCCACGTGTCCAGTTTTATTAAAAAAAGAAGCTGTTAAATTATACTTAAAGTCGTAGAAAATCATACTACGAAAATTTTCAGGAGTTAAATCCAGGGTGATGTAGACAACCAATTTCTAAAATGACGCCACAATGTAAAAACAAGTGACAGTCAGATGAAACAAACTGTGTTCTACAGCCAAAGAGAAATTTTCAAATGTTGTAATTACTTTTTAAATATTGTTTATGTAAGTGGCCAGTTCCGGACACTTACAGTGCGCCCTATGTACTGGCTGCGGTGACTTTACTAATTTTTGGTTAATAGTTTATTTGAAACTTTGTTGAAATTTGGAGACAATAACGTCCTTACACTTCTGGCAGGTATTATATGTATATAGAGTATTTGAAATACAATGACCATATTATGTCAAAGCTTAAGCTGTTACCTACCAACTTCCTGATCAGCTTAGACGCATCTACTGCTGGACATAAGCCTCCCCTTGAACACGCCAAATCTCCCGGTCCCGTGCCGCCCGCATCTAGTCACTGCTTTCCACCTTTATCAGGTCGTCAATCGTAATCGCAAAGATCTGAGGGGCATTGCCACTGCGACTGTCACCGTGAGACACGAGTTGACAAGTCCCATGTGCCTGTAATTTTAGCACCCTTACCCTTAAAAACCGGGACGCAGTAATGCTGAAATTACTGTTTGGCGGCAGAAATAGGTAAGGTGACAGTCCTTCCCTGGATGAACTCTTTCACAAGGAGTTCTACTTCTACTAAATCTTGCCACTCTAGAACAAGTCCGCTCCATCTGTAATCTACCATCCGCAATCCTGTAGACATGTCCGACCTTCTGTCACTTAAGCTTACTGGTTGTGGTTGGTCACTTTAGTTCTCTGAGTCATGACTTCATTAGGGACTCGGTCCATCAGAGAAACCATAGAACATTTATATATGTTGTTAGAGTCTCAAGTTTGCATTAAGTAAATACTGAAAAAATAGAGCTTGCAAAAATTACATTTACATAATATTTCTCTGACTACTATTCAGTCACTTTTCAATACAGAGAAGTTCAATAAATTTACATTCAACATTCAAGTATATGTGGGTTAATAATAAACCTTCGCTGTAGCACCAATTTCCCCTTTTGACTTTCCTAGCTATTCCGAAAAGAGCAAAGCAATGGTACTAATAATGAGAAATAAAAGGAAAGCGATAGGTATGCAGGTAAAATAAATTGCCACTCATACCGAGAAAATGGAAGTCAGTCTCTCTGACAAGGGGAACATAAAAAGGAAATTTTCATTGTTCTGTGAAGACGGTAAAGTGAAATTGAGACCGCTCGCCTACGTACAAATTATTTTACTGTATTCTTAGGCACTACGAATGGAGGTACGACATCTTTATGAAAAATTAAGTTTTGCCAAATCATATTGCCTTAAACTTTAATCAAATATCATTTGTATAATAAAAACACGAAAATTTCGTAGGAGTTCATAGATTTTCACGGTTGTTACATATTGGAAATGAAACTATTTTTTTGGATCATTGACTTTTGGATCTATTGCGTATATGTGTTGTTTCAAAAGTTGGTTTGTTTGAAAAAACAAATATGCGCGATTTAAATCGGAAAAAATAGCTTCATTCCCACTTCTGTAGGAATTCGATTTTAGATTTCGATTTTATTATCATTATTAAAACTCTGCTTGGAATACATAAAAAATGACTTGTACAAAATTACGTAACTTCAAACCTTAGCAAATTTAAGCAATATTATTAATCAAGATTAACATCGTACCAAAATTACTATGTTTAGTATTTGAGTGGTGCAATAAAAATAAAACAAACATGGTGTATAAGTATATCTTATTTAAAGAAGAATAAAAGATGTGCTCAAAGTTTAGGGGTACCTAAAGTAGGCACCTACTTATATGTATTTCATAAACTTTTTCCTGTGCATCCCGATTACAAATTTAATTGCAGATTAGTTTCTACAAGACGTATTGTCCTTTCATCAGAGCTATGCTACTCTACAAACTGTAGAGGCAGTGGGAGATTTCCAATCACTCTTGAATTTCAATCCAATTATCAGGAGCGCATTGCGGTAGTAGGTATTCGTGCCATGGTTGTGCTACCTTATATTTACTTGCATAGATCTTAATAACGCACAGGGATGCCATTGCAAACCCTTGGCTACGTAAGTAGTATGATTCATCAAGTAATAATTTAATGGGCTTATTCTACACGTCAAAATAACAATTTATTCTAGGACTTTCAATAATTACAATCATCATCATCATTACTTCAGCCGAAAGACGTCCAATACTAAACATAGGCCTCCCCCGAAGAAAGCCATAACGATCGGTCTTGTGCTGCTTGCAATCAGCAGATTCCCGCAACCTTGCGTGGTCTGCCCACGCTGTGTCTTCCGGTACGCGGTCGCCAGTCGAGAAGTCTTTGGCCTCATCGTCGGTTGTCTGTTCTGCAACTTAAGTTTTGCAATTCTTTGGGCTATGTAGGTTACTCTGGCTCCCTTGCGAAAAACCTTATTACTGATTCGTTCTCGCAGTGAAACTTCAAGCAAAGCCCTTTCCATTGCCCTTTGGTTGACCTTGAGCCTTCTTATGAGGCCCATTTGATACGGAGCGACTATGTCTCAGTGCCGAAAGTAAGACTAGTAAGAACTAATAAGAGCGGTTACACATGGTGACTTTTTGCAGCGATTCAGTCGCGATGCAGTAGCGAAGCCCTCGCTAACCGTCTACGTTTACACACACGCGCGACTTAAGCAGCGATATAATCGAGATGCAAACGCGATGCAATCGCGATACAAGCGGGATGCAAACGCGATGCTAACGCGATGCACGTTTTTGTTTATTTCTTTATTTCACTTTACAATTTAACAAAACAAAACAATGTGCATAAACCTATACACATTCTTCGCACACAATGATCCAATATAAAAAATACTGCTTGCAGCGCGCGTTTGTATCGATGCAGTCGCACGTATGCATCGATGCAAGCGCATATAAATCGCAAGTGTAGGGATGTAAAGTCGCCGCGAGTAATCGCTTTAACACTCACCGGTCAAAGATGTTTTTACTAAAAATTTTCTAAAAGTTTTTAAAACACAATAAGGGTCTCCTGTAGTTCTGGTGTTGATTTCTTATGAATCCGTGTCAAGACAATCAAAGTTTACGACAATCGTTTTGAATCTTTGTCAATTACTAATCGATCTTCAATTACAACAGTATACAATTAGGTTCGTTTTACATTGTAACAACTATATATTATAGCTATAATACCATCACAATTTCATCTACGTAAATACCTAAATTTTCTATTATTATTGCAAAAGATTAAAAAGTTGCGGTCATAATATTGAAAATTGCGTAAGCAGTGCGTGCCATCTGAAAATTAAAAAAGTGTTAGTTATTTACACATATCGAAATAGGTGCCTTGAGTATATTTACCTAGATTTTAATTAATAATAATATCTGAATAATCTCTGACATACCGAATTTTGTTATTGTATTTACTAGCTAGTAATTACTTTATTACAGCAGTGTACTTAGATTATTTTTGTAATTAAAATTATACTGTATATTTGGTTTGGATCTTTTGTTTTTTCTGTTTTTTAACGACGTCGTTAGCCACACGGTTTGCCCTATGAGCTTTGAGTGTGCCATTTCGATTCCCGGTAGGACTAATTTGAGAAATGAACTTTTCTAAATTGGTTCAGGTCTGGGTGCTCCGGCTCTGGTATTCATAAAGGAAATTCCCTGGAGACCAAGTATTTGGTGGTTGCGAATACACATAGTGGAGGTATTACCCACTTTGTGTATTCGTTAAAATTTAGGTAAATAGACTCTGGTTTTGTAACATCACTTCAATTTTACTATCTTCACATGAACTTGAAAGTGAAGGTATTAATCTGAGCTATCTGATTTAAAAATATTTTCAGACTAAATTTCCAATGGAAATGAAACTATTTTTCCGGATTTAAATCGCGTATATTTGTTTTTTCAAACAAACCGACGTTTCGGGCCCTTTACAGGTCCCATGGTCACGGTTGACTGAGGTGGTACAGTCTTCAACCAGTTATGTCTAATATTAATGCAAACCACCCTATTTTTTCACTATAGTTACAATAGTTATTAATTAAATACCTTATTTTTAATTTTACAAAGAAAACATTCCAATTTACGCTACATTAAGTTTTACAAATTATTTTATTGAATGAATTTTTATTAGGTTTAATTTATTATTAATTATTAATAGAAATTAGAATAAACTAAAATATATTAATTAGTACTGCAGTCTTATGTCTGTTTGGGATTTTTCATTAGAGGAAATACTGGATCCCAAACTGGTGGTACGGAGAAACCATCTTCCCTGTTGAAATTAGGATGTTTTTTAATTTCAATGGCCTCTCGCAGCATCCTGGGTAGATAACGGACTTCTTTTGCAAGGACCTGGGGTTTGTCAAACTTCATTGAATGTGTAGGTTTATCCATGACATGCTCGCAGACTGCAGACTTGTTTACGCGACGGTGTTTGACATCAGCTATATGTTCTTTGACGCGGGTACAAATGCTTCGCTTTGTTTGTCCAATATAAGAGAGACCGCACTCACAGTCAAGCTTGTAAACTCCTGCATCCTGTAAGGGGATGTTACATTTCACGGGTCTCAGGAACTGAGAAATCTTCCTCAGGGGCTTGAAATAGGTCTTGATAGATGCACGCCTGAGGACTCGTCCGATCTTGTCTGTAACACCTCTCACGTAAGGTAAGATGGCAGGTCTTCGCTCGACTGTAGGTGGTTTCACACGGGGTCTGCGGCGTTGGCGTGGAATCCTCAACTTATTCGCATGTAGGACTTGCTTTATATGCTGAAGTTCCCCCGCCAGATGATTACTGTCGCAGACACCATATGCTCTCTGAAACAAAGATTTGCCCACGGTAGCTAACTGGCTAGGATGGTGATGGGAATTACCATTGAGGTACCTATCTGTATGGGTTTTCTTTCGAAATACAGTATGGCCTAGGGTGTTATTAGGATTTCTTTTAATTAAAACATCTAAGAAAGCTAAAGTACCACAATTCTCTTGTTCCATCATAATAATCCAAAATAGTTTCATTTCCTATGTGTAACAATCGCGAAAACCTAAGAACTCGATATAAATTTCCAATGGCTATAGGTCCTGTAATGACTAAATAAACAATATTTACATGTAAAGAAAGAAGGGTAGCTACATTGTCAAAAATGTACAAGGATAGGGAGGAAGCGCACGTGAGAATTCATATAATTGATCCCTACAAACTTTTGACTTGTGTATATAAGTCGTATATGAATAAAAAGTATATTCTTATACAAATTTTTCGGGTCTAAGTTGCGTACTTACATTTGTTTTTTCAACTGATGAACGTATACGCGAGTTCAAATAGCGTTTATCTTACCATATGTTTTTTGTGGCAGTCTTTGACGTGCGATTAAAAACGATTTCGATGTTTCTTTTTCTTGGTGGTAAGGGGGCATCTCGATAGTGGTTCTATTTAAATTTGAAGTAAATATTCCACCTTTAAGAGTGGCAAACTACAGGATGAATCCGGTTTCGCGCACTTTCCGGTAATCGATTTCCAACAACAACAACAACTCTTTCCAACAAAAAACAATCATCGAAATCGATTCATAAATCGTATAACATACACACAAAAAAAATACAGTCGAATTGAGAACCTCCTCCTTTTTTTGAAATCAGTTAAAAAAAACTTAATGAAATCAATATATATTTTCTCGTTTATGAATGGACAATCAGGTATTATGTATAAATAAAAATAATCAGATTATTCGCAATAAGATCCATTGTTTTTTTTAATTCTCAAAGTCTGTTTTCTCAAGTCTACAATTTCGAGTTATGACAGAATTTGGTTTCATGTGCTACATATGAAATTATTACTTGTTATATAAAACTATCCATAAAAGATTTTTTCTTTGGGACTTTTAGATATTTTGCGGCTATTGTATTGAGTACGAAAGTTACATTACCTCAGCAAAAGTGTCCAAACAAATTGTGTAGAAGACAGAATGAATGACCAAAGGGCGTGTTGCTCTTATCAGCATTATCAACACGATCTTGCGTGGGCGCAGATTCGGTTTTAATTCCCACCCACACGCGTAGATAGCTTGGCGCAGATTTTCACTCTTCAGAAAAATGAATAAGTAAACAATATGAATAACTAATAAATACTTGTAAAAAGTGATAAAAAGTTTCTTGCCTTTATCTCCACAGAGTACTTAAGGTCTTTTAATTAGACTGGTAATATAGTTCGTATTTAAATTTGACATTTAAGAACATGTAATAATACGTATTTGTTTTAAAAAGTATTTTGAACTAAATGGTATTCCAAGTTTTATATGCCTTATTACTGTAGAGATTGCATATCTACATACATATCGTCGCTTACATGCTAAACCGCCTAATCACAAAAAAATTCCATAATGTTTTTATTGCAATAATGTATTTAAAAATGGTCAAACTTTAATACTAAACGAAGACACCCAGCGATTTTTCATTATAAATAACGGAATTACGCAAATGCCTGTTTGGCATTCTGCACTTACGTGGCTAACTTTTGAGCTAAACAGCCCTGTTGTGTCCCGGCAATCATCGTAAGTGCACGTCGCTATTAGGATATCTTATACATATATTCGTGTACTATTATTCAAATTCAAATTCAAATTCAAAATAATCTTTTTTCTTTTATATCATAGGTAAGCATTATTACACTTGAAATCGTCATAATGGTTAAACTCTACCGCTCATTCGTAAGGCAGATTTCCCTGAGAAGAATGAGCAAGAAACTCTATGGTTACATCATAACGCAACGCATGAGTTTTCGTAATTCAAATTCAAAATAGAATTTTCATTAAATTTATTCCTGCATGCAAATTTTTGGGTTACAATTTCTCCACGGGAGTTAATTACATGAAACTACTGGGAATAAACGGAATTTTTTTTCTATTTTTTTTTGACGTAGGTACTTACTAATACATGCAATGTATACTGTAGAGGAGTATCATCAAAAGTTATTAACATATACTAGTAATAGAAATAGGGAAACCAGTGAATTAGAATAATAAATTTCTTCATTCCAGAGCTCCATAACTTAGTTCGTTATTTTCACAACTATGGTACTTACCTTTTCCATTAGTAGATCACTGTAATAGCACGGTACGTAGAAATGTAGTAACATACCAAAGAAAAACGGAATGAACTCTAAATTCGAATCTCGATTACGAAGACTCTGCAATTTGAAAACAATGTTAAAGCTAGTAGACCTATAACATGAAGAAATTATTGGTCAAGGTTTGGTATAATAGTAACTTAGCATATACTTTACCACAAGAATTTGAAACGCACACAATGGCAACAGAAATGTAGTAGTTTTCATAGTGAATTCGTAGAGGATAGTAAAATCTTTCTTAATAACGGTTATGAAACTGAAAATGAAGGTGCATAATTAACTGAGATTATTGTGACACATCTAAGGCGATGTACTTATGTTACGATATGTAATAGTTCAGATGCAATTGCAATAAATCTAGTCAGAATGAATGGATACCTGTATATTTCTTGCATTTTCAAAATGATTCTTTTAAATTTCTCTTCAATTTGTTTCTCGTCTAGCGTTTCGTTATACACTGACGAAATTCTTTGATTAGTCACATCCAGTTGGCCACATGCGTGTAGCAAAAAGATGGGCACCACCGGATCAAATCCCGTAAAAGTTAGTACAGCGTAAAAGGCAAATATAATGTAAATAGAAAGAAATATAACATACGGACCAGGTTCGTTTTTATTCACGTCTATTGAATCGGGATATGACAAATCAAACATCGGAACAAGCTTAAATTCGCCCTTATTGTAGTACATGTAAACCATCAATACAATTGCCTTAAGTGGAAAAATCGTACTACATATAATGGATACCATGTACCAAAGTCTACAAACTTTGAGGCCTTTTTCTGAATAATCGAGAACGATTTTCTTCTCTTTCTCTGTTAATTTGGGGATTAAATTATAATCTTCGTTAATTGTGTGGATTATACCCATGATAGAGTGTTGGTGAATCAAAAGAACGGAGTAGTCGAATATGACGGTTACAGTTATTAAAAGCATCACGATATTCTTACTAGCATCGGCGTAACGTTCGTCCTGAATATCTTTTACAAAGATAGAGTAACATAGCAAGATGCTGGTGAAAATTTTGAACAGTATTAGAATTATGAACTTTATCTTCCAATTTCGATTTCGCACACACGCCGGGTGACTGCCTATTATACGCAAAGCGATGTTAGCGGTTTTAAAAATATTGTCAAAACTCATAGAAGCGTTTGGCATTTTGCAAGATCGTTTCATGCAAAAGAAGCCTATTCAAGAATGTTTTTGTCTGGTCCGTTGCCTTGTTGCCTTTCTACTTTTATAAAGACCATATCTATTTCTCAGAAGGCGGTACTCCGTTACATTATCATATCAAAACCGCAAGCCATATTTTGCAATGGAGTGACAAGTGTAACAACAGTTTCTACTGAGAATCGATGAATGCATATGACATAAGAATAATTGCTCCATAATTTGGTACTGTGGAATTATTAACATGTGGAATTATTAATAATATGGGGTCCTTCAAACGAGCTCAAACTCATCACGCCTTGAACCTCTGCAACTGCGTAGAGATGTTGCATCGCTTAGCGCCTTTTACCGCATGTACCATGGTGAGTGCTCTGAGGAGCTGTTCAACCTCATCCCCCCTTCCCCGTTCCTGCTCAGAAGCACGCGTGCTGGCCTTCGTAGTCACCGTTTCACTACCTGCCGAATTCCATCGCGTACTAAAAGGTTCGGTGGCTCCTTTCTCTGCCGCACGGTTGACAAATGGAACTCCCTTCCGGCACATGTCTTCCCTCCCTCTTATGATATGGGGTCCTTCAAACGAGGCGTGAAGAGGCATATTGTAGGCAGGCAGGGTGGAGGTGGCTAGTGCAGTGAGGATTCCATCGCTGCACTAGGTTCCTTCGCGTTTGGATACCACTTTCCACTTAACATCAGGTGGAGTGGAGTCATTTGCCTGTCATGTATATAAAAAAAAAAAAAAAAAAAAATTAACAAAACAATAATATAATAACGTAACATAAGAATTCATAAAAGTCAAAGTCGGTAAAAATATATATTCACCAGGACTTACCGTACCATACCGAGTGCTTGTAAGTATGAATATATAATGATTTTTTAAGAAAATCAATATTATTTTATCTTCAATCTATACTGGCCGGGAAGGCGAGTGTGTCTTAACATTCGCCTTCCCCTTTCCATCATTATTGTGGATATGTTACACTTCCATATTTATTTATATAGCGAATGGCCATGGAATGGAATTCCTTGCCTCCAGACTTGTTCCTTGAACGCTATAACTTGAGCGTTTTCAAGGTGAGAGTGAATAGGAATTAGTTAGGTGTGTACGTTATAATGATTCAGGGTACCAGTTGGACGCTGCACCACTATAGTACCCCTTCCTTACCAATGGTCAAGAGCAACTGTATAAAAAGTACAAAAAAACTTGATAACAACACCTGGACAACCCTTACCGTTTGTAGTTAGGCTAGGGAGCACTCCTTATGCTCAACGTCAGCCTGTCTCGTAAATTTCTTAAGCTCAAAATAAAACAACTGCAAACTTTAATTGCCGCTCTAACGGGTTATGAACCATATAATAAACACTTTTTCAATCTAGGTATTACATGTAGCACATCCTACTACCGGCCTGGTCAACTACAGGGTGAAGTATCTTGGAGTGTCGAGGTCGCTCCACGAATACTTCAGCAAACCCAGGAAGGTACTGAGATTTTCGGATGAGCATAAGTGGCACGAGTAGGACCCTATACCCGCCGCACACAAAATAAGCGCTTGGACGTCGAGTAGCGAACACCAGCCCGTTGTATCATACCATACCATATGCGTTCATGCTCCATTATCGACCACGTCGTCACTTTCCATCAGGTGAAATGCAGTAATCTGCAGTAATTGTAAAAGATTATAGCACCACATTCGAATGATAAGTACATTTCTAGTTATTAATAATCTAGGATGAAACTATTTTTTAGTAGCAGTTGAGCTCCTTGTGGAAGAGTTCGTACGGGGAAGTATTGCCACCTTACCTATTTCTGCCGCCAAGCAGTATTGTCAGCATTACTGTATTCCAGTTTTGAAGGTTAAAGGTGCTGGTGAAATTAGAGGCACATGGGACTTGTCAACTTATGCCTCAGGGTGACGGGTGCGGTGGCAGTGCCCGTCAGATCTTTGCGATTTAAAGCTCTGAGTGGCACTGCAGCTGTTATGTATAGACTTGTAGCTTACCATCAGGCGCACGATTTGTTCATCCCGTCACTTGATATTATAATAAAAAAATTCTAAATCGCGTATATTTGTTATTTCAAATAAACCAACGTTTCGGCAGGTCCCATGGTTACCGGTGCTTACCCGTCCCTAGTATACGCGACCTAAACAAACATACGCAATTTAGATCCGAAAAATAGTTCCATTTCTTATGTGTAACAATCGCCAAAACCTAAGAACTCTACTTAATTTTACTAATGAGAAAATTTGGGTATAGGCATAGATAGATGTTTGTTACTGAATCACGCTAAGATGGCTGAATGTTAGTTACTGAATTAAACTTAACGAATAGATACTTGGTATGATAAAGCCACACGTGTACATATATATGTCAACAGTGCTTTTATCACATGAAAATCATAAAAATAAAACATGAACTACATGAAACATATATATAAGTATATTTTTATTAAGCGCACAGTCCAGGAATGGAATTCTCTGCCTGCGACTGTTTCCGAGCTCTGTTTCTGGGTGAGCTCGATCTATCGTAGATCCTGTCTTTGCTCCAGGGCTAGGTAGTGGCAAGAGCAAATCCATTTATTTAAAAAATAAAGTTACCGACTAATGTCGTTCGTGGAATCTTAAAATCTGTCTCATTAAGGGCGCGTTATTTTAGACACGAATTTCATCGCGCTCACGATTGCGTGCATCTAACTGGTATGGCAAAATACGCTCTATTCATTTAGCATTTACATTTTAACTTAATTGAGTGTCCCGGGCGCGTCGGGCGAGACTGGCTTGTCTTTGATCTACGCCATGGCCGCGCGGCGCCTGCGCGGCTTTCCCGCGGTTGTTTTGTTCCGAAGAATTTAAATGTTGTTGGCTAGTAAATAGAATTCAGATTCGTTAATAATGTTCGTAAATATATACTTTTAAACTTTCGCGTTGCATGGTACTAACATTTCGAAACAGGAATAAATGCGTTTACATACGAAAGGAGTGCCTGGACATAGTTAAGGACCGACTGAGGGGATAACGAGACGTCGTTAAACTATGTTGATATACTTAAGCATTGTTTGGAAGGAAACTATTTTCTTTTCCAGGGTCAATATTACCTCCAGATAGATGGTGTTGCAATGGGAAGCCCTGTAGCCCCGGTACTTGCCAACATGTGGATGGAATATTTTGAAGAAAAAGCACTAAGACTCGGCCCTATACGACTGTGGAAAAGATACGTAGATGATGTTTTCAGTATTGTCAAGGGAGACATCCACGATGTATATCAATGGATACAACATCTTAATTTCATTCACCCTAACATAAGGTTTATGTACGAGATGGAGGCGGACATGTCGTTGCCTTTTTTGGATGTTAGAATGACCGTGATATCCGATGGGTCCTTAACGCCCTGTGTTTACCGCAAATCAACACACATGGACAGATACTTACATGCAACGTCGCATCACCACCCACGTTACTTGCAAACCGTAATGACGTTATTAAAAACAGAGCTTACGACCTTTGTGACCTTGAGCATCTGGAGCAGGAGCTAGATCATGTTCAGGAGGTACTTAAAAAAAATGGATACCCAGTGAACCGACGACGAAAAGCCAAAAAGAAGATATAGGTATCCGGAGATGAATAGACATCCAGCCTACATGTCCTATGTTAAAGGAGTGACGGACAAGATAGGTCACGTTTTACGTCAATACTCCATACCGATAATATAAACTCCGGGCATAAAAATAAATAACGTTGAGCGTACTCCGAAGGACGTCTTACCACTTCAAACACCTGGCGTCTACAAAATTGATAGCAGTTGCGGTAGTTGCTACATAGGCCAGACGAAGAGAACTGTCACTGATAGGCTCAAAGAACATAATATCGTACCTGTAAAAAATCGCCAATGTAATAAGCCAGCGATTGCAAAACATTTGCTGGAAAAGGGTACATTTTACTGGATTGAGTTTCATCGTAAGCAGGTTCTCTCCACCGATCGTCACTTTTATTCAAGAGTTGTAGGTGAAGCGATCGAAATAAAAAAACGTCCTAATAATTTCGTTTAATTTCGGTTAATTTCCTAATAATCGGGAGGACGGTTTCAAATTATCTGCAGCATGGAATCCTGTATTTGTGTATTAACTCAATATTCGCGATCGACTGCGTACCAGAATACGGCTGTGATACAGAATAGGGACACCGTTAGTGTTGTGTGTGGCGGTAGTTTTAAAAATGTAAACACCGCATCACCAGGCAGCCCGTGACCACGGCCAGTGCAACCTGGCCGAAACGTCGGGAAACTAGGTGGGTGTGAAAAATACCTATAAGTATGTAAACGCGTTTATTCCCGTTTTCAAATGTTAATGTACGTGAAAGCGTAAACGTAACTGGGCTGTCACCGCGCGAAATCTTTCGCGTCGTGTAGCTTGGGCGCTAAAAGTTGTCATTTTGCAGATGCAGTCTTATTATACAAAAGGTGTGATTTTTTATCTATATTAGCTATTTATCTTAAATCTGGGCGATAGTCGCGAAAAATTTTATAATTTTTTAAAAAAACGTTAATAATAGTTATTTGTTATGCAAGGTTGCAAAGCGAAGGAGACTGAGGGTCGTATTCTAGAACTCTACTCAATGCTCAAGTCAGGATTTGAGAATGGTTTAAAGCACTCGAAATCATACTCAAGTCCCTTCCATTAGGGTCGTATTTCCAGTGCTTGAAATCATACTCAGATCCTGACTTGAGCATTGAGTAGAGTTCTGGAATAAGACCCTAAGATTGAATTCTGAGCGTAGCGAGGGTTTCAAGCCACGAGAGGCAAAATAACTTTGCTGCCGAGCGAAACACACAACTTTTCACCTCACTATAGCGAGGAAAATGGTAGATTAAAGAAAAACAGTTAAACAAAATCAGTTAAACAAATCAGTTTTTCATCACCGCTGGACTCTGAGTCGATCTTAGAGGATGGAAAAAAAGGAGTCGATCATGTTTTGTTTCTT